TTAAACACATTAAGGAGTTCTCCAAATTCACTGAATTAAGCATGTGTTCTCTACAGTAAATGACAGACTCCTCCGTATATTGTTCTACCATTCAATGTAACAAGTCTCTACTTGTCAACCTGTTTTACTACAGTCTGTCATGACCTGTCTAAAACATTGCTGTTGTTAGCTATCACTGAGTCATCCTCTGACTCGTGGTGACCCTGTAGGGAACAGAACAAAATGCTGCCCAGTCTTACACTGTCCCATGCTTGGTTGTACATCAAAACCAAAAACCAAACCTACTGATGTCAAGTCAATTCTGACTCACAGTGACCCTCTGTGGGTTTCTGAGGCAGTAAATCTTTACAAAAGTAGATTGCCCAGTCTTGCATCTGTGGAGTGGTTGATGGTTTGAACCACCAACCTTCTGGTTAGCAGTCAGATGCCTTAGGCACTGTGCTACTAGAGCCCCTTATTTGTGTACCAGACCACTGTAATCCACAGGTTTTCCCTGGCTGATTTTCGGGAGTAGATCATCAGTCCTTTCTTCCTAGTCCACCTTAGTCTGGAAGCTCTGCTAATACCTGTTCAGCGTCATAGCAAAAGGCAAGCCTCCAATGACAGTGCAGACGATCAGTGGCTAGGAACAAGGTGAACTGGCCAGGAATCAAAACCAAGGCCTCCTGCATGAAAGGTGAGAATTCTACCACTGAATCACCACTGCCCCCAACATTAACCTCTATGTAGAAATAGAAGTAAAAGTTTGTGAAAGACTTTTTAGGTAACGAAGCATAAAAAAAAAAAAAAACACATCTAATGTAAGATACAGTGGAAGATCACAAATTCTACTAGTAATTACTTATATTAATCACTTAAAATATAACTGAACCGGCAATGAACTCAGAATTTTCCCAACTATAATTAACTCTCTATTCTTCAAAATTATAAATGCTATAATAGTATCTTCAAAAACATCTCTCTCATTGCTGATGTTGTTGTTGTTATGTGCCATTGAGTCAGATCCGACTCATAGAGACCCTCCTTGGGTTTCCGAGGCACTATCACTACAGAAGTAGATTGCCCAACCTTCCTTCCGAGGAGTGGCTGGTGGGTTTGAACCGCCAGCCTTCTGGTTAGCAGTCAGGTGCCTTAGGCACTATGCTACCAGAACTGATAGCTGCATATAAAATGTTTGAACCAAACCAAAATGTTTCTGACAGTTTCTAAACCTAAAACTACAATTCTGTTGCTGTTTATTCAACACTGGTAAAGCTGAGATATGACCCAGTTCTTTCTGACTTCAAAGTCCATCATACATATTCCATAGCTCCACTAGAATTAAAAGTAATTATAAAGTTTGGTGCAAAGCCATCTTTATATTTTTGCCAAAACATTATTAAAAGGCATTTGAAAAAAAAAACTTAAGAACAAAGGAAATTTTAAAATGTGTAACAAATATAAGCCAGTACAAATTTACAATATAAAAGCTAAAAAAGAATTTTAAAACATTATATATACTGATATACCTAGTTTGTATTATGTTAACTGACTAAAATCTCTCAGTATCAATAATTTATATGCCCTTGTATTATTCTAATCTGAGTATTTCCCACACTGGATACTTTCAACATTTATAATAGAGAGTTTTCTCCTCACATACTCAGAAATGAGTTTACCAATATCATTCTAACAATCAATATAAACTTTCTGATTTGCTTCCTTCTGAATTAACAGTGTTTAAAACCAAAAGCTGGTATTAGAAAGGTGAGGAAATCCCAAAGGGAAGCATCATGCCTCAAACATAAATGATCTCCCTCAGCTTCCCAGTAAATGCAGGATACTGTGGAAGAAAGCTCTGGTTGTCTGGAGGTTATTTTAGTTAATTAGTGGAATGAACCCTCTGATTACTAAAAATGGCAAGAAACCAAGATAATAATGTTTGAACAACGGTTTATTTTTTTAAAGTAAAAATAAAGACTTAGTTTATTTTTTAAACTAGACATAGAAAAAAAGAATGAAAGGGTTATTTAGATAATTACACTCTTTTGCTGAAGTTTGAGATCCACTGATTTCAACGTGGTTTTGGATATAACCCATGTGGTATATTAAAAAGACACCCTAAAATATTTTTGAAATGTTCCATTACTTCTAGAAACACTGTATATTCAATTTCGTAACTTGGTTAAAATGGGTAGGCTAGATCATAAGTACAAGATCATAACCACTAGATAAACAATAAATTATGAAGTGCTTTAAAGATCAAGGGCAGGAATGGTATAGTGGAAAAAAAGAAAAAGAATATAGTTTAGTGTTAGCTGGGATTCACTCAGACCCACATTACTACACAGATCCCCTATACTAACCACATTACATTAATACACAGGCACACATTGTTTTATTGTACTTTACTTTTTTGCACTTCACAGATAATGCATTTTCTACAAATTAAAAGTTTGTGGCAACCCTGCATCAAGCAAGTCTGTCAGCAACTTTTTTCCAACAGTATGTGCTCATCACTTTGTGTCGCTGTGTGACACTTTGGTAATTCTCACAGTATTTCAAACTTTTTCATAATGCTATTGCATACTAAATACTACAGTATAGTATAAACGTAAGTTTTATATGCACTAGGAAATCAGAAAGTTCCTAACTCACTTTATATTTGCTTTATTACAGTGGTCTGGAACTACACCCACAATATCTATGAGGTATGCCTGTACACACCATATTAATTATAAGAATCATCTCATTAAGTACTCAAAACAACCTTATGCTGTAGGCATTAATAAGATCATTTCACAAACAGGATACTGCAGCATAACAAGTTAAGTAAATTCCTTCCTGTCAAAAGCCTAGAGGTAAAGACGTATTATTCTATACTGTACTAATTGTGATGCAATGATTTCCTTTGTCTTGTTACATTTTATCAGATGATCTAGGGTATCTCTGCTAAGTAAATATATTGAGCTACTTCACTAAATGTTTTAATATATGTTCAAGTGAGCTCTAATTTTGAAGAAGAGTTCAATCAAACTTTTTTACCTTTATTAAGAAAGGTTGAAAAGACTGGAAATGTTCTGAATCCTATTCATTGAAGAGTAAAATTTAAAAAAATAGTTGATGTGGAAAAGTTCTTCTTTATTAAAGAATTACAGATAATAAATATAGAAAGAATGAGAAAAGAAGACTTCACTTTTTGCAATCCCTAATCAATGGACATATGCAATGTGATTAAAAAAACTGCTCAGTCAATGAAAAGTTGATGGGAACATTTATAATGGATAGATCACTTAAACACAACAATCTTTTAAGTTTACAGGACTACTGATGAAATCATTCTGATACTCCCCCAACCCAAAAAAAGAGAACCCAAATATAATCAGAGCTCTAGCTCTATCAGTCTACAGAAAATATGAGGGGTATATCTACATGTTAAATAACCCAAGAATGTAGTCATTCTAATCCAGAATGTGGCACATTTTACAAGACATATCAACCCTAAGGTCCTTCAACAAATAAAACAAAACTGGAGGGACTATTAATGATGTTGTTGCTGTTGTTGTTGTTGTTGTTATGTGCTGTCAAGTCAGACCCGACTCATAGCGACCCCTCCTTGGGTTTCCGAGGCAGTATCACTACGGAAGTAGATTGCCCCATCTTCCTTCCGAGGAGTGGCTGGTGGGTTTGAACCGCCAGCCTTCTGGTTAACAGTCAAGTGCCTTAGGCACTACGCTACCAGAATGCCTAATATTTCCTTTAAAATACTTAAAAAAACAAAAATTTTTAAAAAAGGAATAATAGATAAAATGGCAGAATATTGCTAATTTTTTTTAATTAGGTGCTTTCTGGTATCATGTATCATATCAGGATTCATTACACTATTCTTCCTACTTTCATGTATGTTTGGAAATTTCCTAAATATGAGGAATAAAGTCTAGATTTTGAACCAAGCAAGCCAACTGTAAAAGAGCAATTTTGAGACAACTGGAAAAAATTCAATGCAGAATGGATTTTAAATTGTATTAAGGAATAAATAATTTTGTTAGGTATAATTATAATATTATGTTTAAAATACTTATTTATTACAGCTATATATTGACATATGTAGGGGAAATTATATAATATCTAGGTTTGATATGCAGGGGGAAAAAAAAAAGATACACATTAATCACATCTAGGATTTGCTTTAAAACATCCCAGTAAAAACAAACAGAAGTGTAAAGGAGGAGTAAATTAAACAAAAGTGGCAGATTGTTGGGTATAATACAAATAATTAATGTAATCAATTCAATATGTTTAGTGTAAAGCAATATGATATGATATTCACTCTATTTTTTTATGTGTATTTAAAAAATTCCATGAAAAAGGATTTCTAAAATAAAATGACCCTGATATCACTGAAGAAAATGTTAAATATAATCTAGTGATTGGAAACTGCTTTTATTTTCTAAGGTTGAAAGACCTATGAATAAAAATACCTATCTCAAGATAAGAAAAAAAAAAGAGTAACACAATTATGACAAAACAGAAATGTATAAATTTAAGACTTGTTCGGCTAATCATGAAAATGAAGAAAGTAGTTATTAAAACACTGCAAAGCTGGGTAAGAAACATAATAGGCACTCAATAAATGTTTCTAAATGAATGACACTCTACAAATGATTTTTTTCCTCTTATTTATAGTATCTAAAAATGTTAATATAAAATATTATATTTATATAAATACAAAAATAATATAGTAAATATAACTTTATAATGTAAAAACTGTAGTTATATAATAAATATAAAATCTAAATTTATATAAACTTTATTTAATGAATTTAATATATTCTGATTTTGATATATATTTGAGGGTTAAAATTTGCACAAAAGAAAATCTTTATGATAATATAATTACTATTTAAGAACTAAGAAAGGACCCTAGATACAATTTAATTCAGCCTCTTATTATACAGATCAAGATAATGAGACTCAGAATTACACAGCTAACCTCTATTTACATCAAAACATTTACTCACTTCATAAGACCTGAATTCTTCTTGCTAAATGGTCCAATAATTTTAAACATCAGTTCCACAACTCCATTTTTCCCTAAGGATACTGAATTCACAGCTGTGGGAAAAAAAAGATGTAAAATGATTTAAAAACTTCAGTAACTAAAACATGTACACATTTAGTGAGTGAGATACATAGCCACAAACATATACAAACTGTTCAATAAATGTGAAGTTAAGTCACTCGTGAGATCTATCTTAGCCAATCACTCAAAGAGAGGATTTTTTTATCTTGCTTTTTTTATGGAAAGTTGTAAAAGAAATTCTGAAACAAGTAATATGAAAAAAAGGGAAAAAAAGTTATAAAAAATATATAAGTTGCATCATTTATTTATTTTAGTAAACTCTTTTAAATACCGGAACGTGTGTACTCGAGTCAAAAATAAACAATCTGCATTTAGAGAATGAGTGTAGAGAAGAATGACAGAAAAAATAAACATGCAATTACTATATTACTTTCTAAATAGATTAAGAACTGTAGTTACTTAGGCTACACCACTGAGGAACCCATATCCAGAGTAGAACAGAAGGCATTTATGGAGAAGACAATGCTTAGACTCAATTTTTAAGAGTAGGTGTCAGCTAGGAAAGGAGCTGAAATGAAGGGGAGGATGTGGATCTGGGATATCTCTGGAGATAGGGGTAACATGGACAACAGCACAGAAAACAAAACACCACACGTATGAGCAGTTAGTTACATGTTGTTAAAGTATGTTGTATCAGACAAAGGCACACAAAACAGGAAGATGAGATGGGAAAAGAAGCCAAGAAAGAAATTATGAAGGGCTCTATAAATTAATTCTTTCAGCTACCAAGAATCACCCAAAAGGGACAAAACATCAGATTTGCTTTCTGTTTTGTTTGTTGTTCTTCTGTTTAATTTCTACTTCCTCCTCGAGCCCACCTCTCCCCTTAGTCCTTCAAAACCTGTTGGAATTTGTTTTTTAAATATACAGGGTCAGAACACACACTACTCTGGGAAAGATGGATTTACAGAACACATTAGGAAGCTGGGCTCTAGGTAACAGGCAATGAGGATCTTCACTAAAGCAAGTATAGTATGAAAAAGAGGGAACAATTTTAGTTTTTCACATGAAACATGCAAGCAATTACTTAAAATTACTTCTGCTCAAAATTTTCAACTATGAATAAACAGTATTAACAAAATCATAGATAAAACATTTTCTAGCCTTCTAGTGGTTAATTCAATAAAACACCATCAAATACATGATTTTAATTTCCTCTACATCTGTTAATTACTACAATATCCCTTCTAAGTTACGTGTATGCTTTTTTTAAACCAATGCAATTTTATTATTTTTAATACGTTATTTTCCTATTTTCTAATGTAAAGCTTTTTATTCTTTTCTTTCCTATATTTCTCACTTCCTTATATTTATTGCTCTGTTCCTAACTTCTTTGGTTAGGTATCTAATTCACTTTCTTACTTTATTTTTCATTATATAAATGTCATTTAAATGTGTAACACTATTGTCCTCTGAAAATAGGTGCTGTTGAGCTGATTGTGACTCATGGAGACCCCATGTGTGCAGAGCACAAACCACTCCGTATGCTTTTCAAGGTTGTGATCTTTCAAAAGAAAATCACCAATTTGGTAATAACATAGCTGACAAGAGACTTATCTCTAGAATTTATAGAACACTACAACACCTCAATAACAGAAAGACAAACAATCCAATTAAAAAATGGGCAGAAGACATGAATAGACACTTCACCAAGGAGGATATTCAAGTGGCCAACAAACATGAAGAAATGCTCACGATCATTAGCTATTAGAGAGACGCAAATCAAAACAACAATGAGATACCATCTTGCTCCAGCACTAGTAGCAAAGTTCAACAAGACAGAAAATAACAAATGCTGGCGAGGTTGTGGAGAGATTAGGACTCTCTTACACTGCTGGTGGGACTGTAAAATGGTACAACCATTGTGGAAAGCAGTATGGCAATTCCTGCAAAAGTTGGAAATACAAATACCATTTGACCCAGCCATCCCATTACTAGGTATATACCCTAAAGAAGTGAGAGCCATAACAAGAACAAATATATGCACACCGATGTTCATCGCAGCACTATGTACAATAGCCAAAACTTGGAAACAACCTAGATGTCCAACAACTGAGGAATGGATAACCAAACTTTGGTACATTCACACAATGGAATACTATGCAATGCTAAAGAATAATGTAGAATCTGCAAAACACCGCATAACGTGGATGAACTTGGAGGACATTATGCTGAGCGAAATAAGTCAGTCACAAAAGGACAAATATTGTATTAGTCCGTTATTGTAAAAGTTAAGGAAAGGTTTATATATTGGAGGACATTTTCTTTGTTGGTTACCAGGGGTGGGAGGGAAGGGGAGGGAATGCTGTTAGATAGATAGAGATAAATATTGATTTGGGTGAAGAGAAGGGCAATGTACCAAATGTGAGTGACCAATATGGCAGCACTGAGGATGAGAAAGACAAAGAGGGTTCCATGGGCAGTACAGACAACAAATATGAACCCCTTTGCATATACAGTACTGAGTTGTCAGTGAAAGCAAACATGGGTATAGGGACGGATAGATGGGTGAACAAGCTAAACAATTAGGTATGTCTAAATGGAGAGTGTATCCAAGATCATATACAGGGTTGGCAGACAATGGGCCTATAAGTTCATGTGAATGATCAGAATTCCCAGGTGTATAGTAGAGCTGACAAGGGGCAAGGTTATGGTCATTACTTGGTCACAGCCAGCTACCCAGAGGGACCGAGTAGTTGATCCTGCGGGCTTGGGACCATAGTCACAGGGGACATCAAGCTCAATTGGCATAACATACTATACAAAACATTGTTCCACCTACTACTTTGGCGAGTAGCGACTGGGACCTTAAAAGCTAGGAAGCTGCCATCTAGATGCAACAACGGGTCTCTCCTCGTCAAGAAGAAAGAAGAAAACCAAAATTAATGGAAACTATCAGTCCTAGCGACTGGTACACCATCCGATCTGCAACCTATACAACTATGAGACCAGAAGAACTAGATGGTGCCCAGCTACCACTGCCATCCACTTGGAAGGGATGTAGGAGATCCTGCATAAAGAGGGAGAACAATGTGGTACAAAACTCAAAATCATTTGGAGGCAAAAAAAAAAAAAAAAGAAGAAGAAGGTGGGGACCAGGTTTGCTGGTCCAATGGAGCCTGGTGTAACCACTGAGACTATGGCCCCTAGCTGCCCTTCAGGTCTGGAATTGAACCCACAACTGTGGTTTCCAGCCAAACAAAGTACAGGCATGTGAGTTAACCATTTACCTCAAGTAGACACACGCCCTGGAGAGAACAATCATGGGAGAAGGAAGGGCTGCTTATGCACAGGGAGATAGCTCAGGGTGCAGAAGAGTATGAAGGGATGGACACTGGGAGGAGGTAACTATGGGGAGGAAGTGGGAGGGGAGCTGCTGCATTGTAAATTTTGGTCAATGACATGAGACAAAGTATATGTGAACTGCTGTATGAAAAGTGAATTTACTCTGTAAATCTTCACCCAAATCCTAAAAAAAAAAAACTACAAAAAAAAAAAGAAAATCACCAAGCCAGTCTTCAAGGTGCCTCTGGATGTGTTCAAACTACCAACCTTTTTGGCTAGTAGTTGAGAGCTTAACCATTTGTACTACCCATATTGTCAAGAGGTGTGAGGAGGCATGAGTGTATACATATACATATACACATGTGTATGTATATATGTGAATGGACTCCATGGCACCTAACAACAACAAATGTATATATGTAAATAAATATATGCATATATACATTTACACATACATACACATACACACACACACATATTTATCGAGCCCTTTCATTATTTTCTAATGATATTTTGTGAGAGCCAGAACTCAACGGACTGTTTTGTTTTTCCAAGTCCCACAAGTTTTCCACCTTTGACAGGATGCAGTCTTACCACTCCCATATTCTGTTAGTGGAAAATATTTGAGTGCTCCTTCTCTTGACAGATTTTCACCTTATAGAGGTTCCAGTTTTCACAGCTATTACCACATTCTACAGTTTCAATTTTCGGTTCTTTCCTTAACCACTCCAATGCCATAGAGAATAGAAAAGAAAATTCACATCTCATGAGAATGTGTGTTCAGGGCAACATCTCAAATGAGACTCTCTCTGTGACCCCTCTTCCTGCCAGCTTCCTCAGCAGCTCCTATACTATTTGTTTTTTCTTCTGCCACTTCTCAGGTGACTATGCTATCCCATGCCTTCCTTCTCAGTTTTCCAGCTGCCAATACCCTCATATTCTCCCATTTCTTTCCCACAGGCTCCTACTCACCCCTTCACTACAGTACTTTGTAGAAATTAATGAGAGCTCTCAAGATTCTGTCAAGTCACCTTCACACTCCACATCCCTTCTGTGATATCTGGGGTAGGAACTACAAGCATCCATATTAAATTCCTTCTTGTCACAAATTTTGAAGGTTTCTGGAATTATAATACTTTACATTTTTCATTTCGTATAATTTCACAACAGAGAGTTAATCAAAAGCTGCTCTGAAATACTCACAATTAGCAGAATATACTCTTAAAAGCTGAAGACAAGGTAGAACCAAGCGATGATTCTGCAAATTCTGTTTGACCAAATTCAGGGTTATAGTCAGAGCTCCATTAATTCTAGCTTTCACTCCAAACTTTTTGTCTGTTTAAAAAAGGAAAAAGCAATTAATTTATATGAAACTTTTAAAAGAAGTATCATAAAACAGTATTTTAAATTTATGTTATGAACTCATGTATCAAATATATAGCTGTCCTAAAACAATTAAAGTTGGAATCATTTTTGTTGTATGATTTTTAAAGTACTCCTTATATTTTTGAAAACTACCTTGAAGGAACGTACAGGCAATCATTATGAACGTGCAACTTACACACAACCCGTAGCTACGAACTAACCTCTGTAAAGCCTATTATATTAAAAATTCAAGGTACATACAATGTTCATAATAACAAATGGGTACTACTGTGCAACATGCATCAAAACAATATTATTCTTATTATTACTACTGTATCACGTTAAAGATGTTTTAGTGTATCTGAAGTGCTTTAGTATTTTTTATGCAAAGAAACATATACTATATACTAAGACAAACATCTGACTGGCTGACACTACATACTAAGCAAGTTATATATAAATTCAACTTAAAGGCAGACTTAGAAACAGAACTGGTTCGTAACCTGAGGACTGCCTGTACTGAGGGACAGGTGGGGGGATAGAGAAAGAAGGAAGTGGGCAAAGGACACTGACATTTATACTGTCATGAAAGGAACAACTTAAATGATCCACTATGTACGTAAGGCTCGCCGGTTCAAAATCTTTCCCAGGAACACCATATCACAGTTAAGGATAATAGTAAAGAATCTAAATGTTCATTACAATATTATTTATTTACTAAATCATTTGACTACTAACCAGAAAGCTGGAGGTTCAAACCCACCAGCCATTTCTTGGAAGGAAGACTGGGCAATCTACTACCGTAGTGATACCACCTTGGAAATACAAGGAGGGGTCCCTATGAGTGGATACAACTCGATGGCAGTGAGTTTGGTTTTTGGTTTTGGTATGAACCATATTATTTTAAGGCTTATAAAAGAATAGAAAGACTAATAGTTTACACAGAAAATAAACCAGCAAATATTATAAAAAGTTCCTGTTATGGATTGAAATGTGTCCCCAAAAATATGTGTTGGAAACTTACCTCCTGTCCATTTGGAAATAGCATTTTCTTTGTTGTTAATGAGGTCATATCAATGTAGAGTGTCCCCTAAGCCTATTCATTTATGAGCTATGAGAAGAGTAGATTAGACACAGAAGGAAATACAAACAGCAGGGGCAAGCAGAGAGGCCATGTGAAGATCACCAAGGAATAAAGAAGGAATGTCAGGGCTATCGTAGCTGAGACAAGGATCTTTCTCCAGAGCAAGTGAGAGAGCCTTCCCCTTATAGGCAGTGCCCATAGTGCCTAAGGCACTTGACTGCTAACCAGAAGGTTGGCGGTTCAAACCCACCAGCTACTCCTCAGAAGGAAGGTTGAGCAATCTACTTCCATAGTGATACTGCCTTGGAAACCCAAGGAGGGGTCGCTGTAAGTCGGGTCTGACTCGACGGCACATAACAACAACAACAAATGTTTAAATCTTAAGGTCCTAAGGATATCTGGAAAATTAAAGTCATCTCAGGGATGGTTTTTGTAAAACAACACTACTAAAAGTACTATTTAAATATTTGTATAATAGATAAAGATATGTATGAAATACAGAGACATACATAAACTACGTACACATATAACTTCACTGTTTTAAATAATCATTTTAACAGAGTATTTCAAAAACTAAAACCCAGGAGTTCCAGCAAGATGGCGGACTAGGCAGAAGGACTGCACAGACCCTCTTCAACAAAGACAAGGGAAACCAATTGACACAGACACAGAAGATAATCTTGGACCCCTGAGCCTTGAAGGGAAGGATACAGAAGTAGACTAAACCCCAACTAGCAGAAGAATTT